ATGCTCATGCTATACTATGCTGGTGCTTCATACTAGCATACTCGGATTCTAACAGTACTTAGCCCCCGAGGCTCCGCGGCCGCCGCCGGCGGCGGAACCGCGCCCAGAACCCCCCCCCTGCGCTGGAGGGGACCCCAAGGGACCCGAAACACCCCCGATAATTTTGGGTCGGCAGCTGGGGGTTTTACTCAGGCGCTGGGGGGCCGGGCGGGGCCCAAACTAGAAAGCGTCGAGTTTCCCGCGGGCTCTGCAGCCATTGGCCAAAGCCCAAGTATCGATCCTATGGCGCTGCTACCTCAACAGTGACCTGATAAATGGTATATATATATGACTGGAACGGCTCCGGGATATTGAGAAACATCGATGAGCAGGCACTACCTCAATCAACTAGCCATTACTACCAAAGGGTAATCAATGCTGGTCTTCTTTTGTCGCTGGTAACCACATTTGAACCGAGGGTACATGGTGATTTGCATGTTCTGCCAAAGGACGAAAGTTGGCTTCGGAGAGTTTGTGCTGAAGTAACCTCTCATGTTTTGGTACTAAAATGATCAGACCCCGCACCATCAACTTCAATTGGAGCGAGAATGTTGAGATGTCTTGAATCACATCCTCAATGCATTTGCGAGCTACGTGGCGTTGGCGGTATCCATCAAGAGTACATAATCGATCAATAACTGCGACATTACCATCTAGTCGCCATCGCGCGTAGCTGACAGGAGCATCTCCAAGAAGACCCAGTACGTGACGCGAGAGAACATCGCGCTCGTCGAACTCGACTTGAATACCAACTCCCAGCTCTTCGACAAAAATTCTGCGACGTAAAATTCTCGCCAGTTCAAAAAACCCTCTTTGGCTTGGATTCCCTGAATTTGTTTCGAAATACACGAAATGTAAATTTGTATCAGATGGTCGACGCATGGAACCATCTGAATCACGTAGGGAACTGAGGATGAAGAGGACTTTGATCGTGCTGGTGTGTAAGGGGCCGAGTTTCTTCTCACAAATGCGCCGCGCGCGCTACAAAAATACAACTATACAGTGCGAGTTAGATTGTGTTACCTCCAGCTGTTTTAACGCGTCGAGATGGCGGCCCTGGTGATGCAATTCGTTTGCGCGATCTACGAACGCATCGACGCCACGTTTCGCTAGTTCAACCTCTTTCAAACCCTCCTTGTCTTCCATGTGCAATCATAGGGTGCTGACACGAGAAAGAAGTGGGGGGTACGGTTCGATCAAACTCCCTGCCCAAGCACAAGTTCTTGGTCACCTTCGAGGAGGTGGTTCTCCCCAACTCCCCGGCGAGTGGCCTGCAGGCCCGGAGCTAGACTAGCACTTCAAGGGGAGACAAATCGATCTGCCGACGCCGATGTCCCTGCGAAATAATCACAGCGCCGTCGCGCTGGATTATTTAATCTACGTCGGCTAGAAGGGACGCCGGAGGCTGGCCGGCGCCGGCAACCTGCGCGCCGATTTAATTCCATTTTAAATCAACCATAGCCATTGAATTTCGTCAACATTGACGACAACGATACCTCGACAGCCCGGTCCGCATCGCATCTCCGCATCGCTGCGCTCGACGACGGGATGCTTGGTGAACTGTTGGACGTCCAGAGCTCCGCGAATATGAAGGGACGTGCAACGATCCCAGTGGCTTCGAGGTCCGCAAACATGTGGGCGAGGCACCTGCGAAGACGCGACATCCAAACGATTGCGAGGTGGCGCAAACGGGCAGCTTCAGGGGGTGCAGTGAGGCTCGGCAGCTTCCCCCGAACCTATTTCGGGTCGCTTTCGAGCCACAGAGCGTCGGGAATCGTTCGTCATGGGGGCGACCAGATGCCCTCGCGACAGCTCCTCGGCTCGAGTCGATTTGATCGAGATCATCTCAGCGCCTCCGACGGGCGCGCGGCGCCGCGGGTGACACGGTGCTCACCGCGCAATGAATGAGACGTTCGGTGCGCCAGTGCTAAGCAGAGACCTCCGGGAAAACATTCCAGGGGTGGCTTACCCAGGGTCTAGCGCACCGCTCGACCTCTGGAACTAAGTTGGGCCCCTCGTCGGTCGCCCACCATCGTTAACGGCCGTTCTCGTCATCCACGGGCTGCCCCGACGCGAACCAAGTTGCTCGCCATCGACCGGTGGTCTTTCCCGAGCGACTCGCAGTCGGGCCCGAGGCGCGGCATGGTCCACAGACCGAGCGCCGCGCCAAGCCCTGGAACCGCTGCATCGGACGCGCCCAGAAAACCGTGGTCGCAGAAGATACCTTGACTGCATGATTCTTTTTTCCATGGCGATGGTTGGTCCAAAAACACCATGATGGCATATTAAATCATGCGCCATCTGGCAGTACGGGGGCCGCGCAGGTCGCTCTTAGATTAAATCGTAGCCCGATCATCAGAAAACGGGACCTCCGAAACCATAGCGCAACTCTGACTTCGTATTAAACCCCCTTAGAACCTAAGATGAGCCCGGAGCCGGGGGGTGGCGATGCGCGACAAGTAAGCCCGCTGGATGTCGTTCCGGCCGCTCATGTCGTTCGGCGGGCTTGACTAGAGGCTAGCTCGGCCCCATCGAGGCCGTTTCGCGGTAAAGTAAAGGCTTTTTTGTTGGGGCGTGTGGCGGGATAATTGTAGAGAGAAATACATACGGAGAATAGCTTAGCTAAAGTTTCCTGCGATATGGCTTTTTGCGCGCGCCTACGATCCCCGCGACTGCGTTTTTAAGTTCGACTGCATTTTGGGCCGTCACGTAAAAAACGCCGTGAGCAATTTGGCGCCTAAACCGTCAGGACAACCCCCAAATCTAGCTATAAAAAAGACACCAGGTGCCTGTTGTTCTCTCTGTAGCCCCAATCGGGACTATGCTGTCCTCCCTATACAGGGGCGCTCATACTAGCCTATGCTGGCTATGCTCTGCTCGGTCATGCTGGGTGTGCCTTGTGCTGGCCATGCTATGCTGGGTAGGATACTAGCATACGCAGGTTCCAACACAATCTTCACACTGTGCATGCACCGCAGTGTGTCACTCGAGCGCCAAGCAGATCTGTCGCCAGACCCCATGCGGCCCTCGGCCACCAGCCTTCCGGCAGCGCATCTCTTGCAAAAGCGACAAGCGCCTAGCTCATCATACCGTCAATCATCTGGGGTTCATTTGTTGGGAGTCATCCCTAAAATTTTTTGAGATCAATGAACATCACTAAATCATACGCCGCGAACTCTACTATAAGCAGCATTCATTGCAGCCCGACGTCGTTCATCCATTTGGGCCTGCTGCTGAGCTAGTGCTCGAAGCTGCTCTTTCAATTGCCTGCATTTTGGAACCATGCATGTGTCACGCCGACACTGACGTGCATGAATTTGCAATAGTGCCCAGATGCGCCGACAAATGGCACATCCGCCCTGAACTCGTGTCATACATGTTGCACCATGTTTAAGAAGATTCTGCAGTATTTAAGTTCAGGCAAACACATGAAAACTTGCACTCACCTTCATCTTGTTGCAATTGGCCGAGGGACACTGTTGGTTTCGACAACCAGAAGCATGCTGCAGAAGCTGCATGTGCAATTGAATTGAGCGTTGTCGATCTCGACGTTGTTCCTCCGTAAGCTGAGCCTGAGAGTCACCGCCTACAAGTGACCTTCGAAACGGGGACTTGTCAGCGAACACCTTATGCGTCTTTTGATAGCAATCCTGTAGTTTATTTTAAATTGTCCCGATTATAACAAGAAAAACTCACCTGACAAAGGTGAAACTCCGGATCCTTCTCAGAGTTATAGCAATAGCCCAAATTGATGTCCATGTTGCAATTTGAACATGTAACAAGGAATTTTGGCACATCTGGATTGTGAAGATGGTAGAGAGACATCATTGAGGTGTGCTTTGCACGACGAAGGTCATCAAATTGATAGTGATTACCTTGGCATAAATTCAGAAATTGCTGGCGAGTGTCATAAAACTCAGACTCAATGATCTCGTCAGTATCCTCTGTCTCGTCAAATGCACCACCTCTGCGATTTGATGAGTCAGATAGAGCATCGAGAGTCGAGCATTTTGTTCCTGCTCCAAGCTTTGACTCCAGCGCCTTGGTACCAGGGCTAGCAGATTCTGCTGTCTCATCCACAGCGGACAGGTCTTTATCACTGGTTAACCCACTTTTGCCCTTGTCCATGAGTGGCTTAGCATCTTCACCAGCGGGCCCTCGATCACTAGATTTGCGATTTTCCCCTGAATTGGTATTTCCGGCGGCATCCGGTACCTCAGACGGCAAAATTTGGATCGCCTTGTGATCTATAGAATCACACTTGAGCTTTTCTTCTGAGGCAAAGCGATGGGCCATCGCGCGTGCAAAATCTCGAGGAGCTAAATAGGCAACGATAAAGGCATCCTTCATGGGCTCAAGTATCTTTCCCATACGAAGAATGAGAGCATCCTGACCGCACTCCTCTTCCAAGGTCCCATCTGAGCGAAGGCCTCGATTTGTTCGTCCCTTGGCTTTTGATTTCACTGAACTAGCAGCTTTGCGTGATTTTGTGTCGGTACGCTCGTTGGCCTCGTCTTCAAGGGCCTTGATGACATTTTCCGCCTCGCCTGGCCAATAATCGCCTTCAAAATAAGGAACTAGAGTGGCGTCGTGGTCAGACTTGAAATGCTCATCCCATAGGTTGGTAATATGCGTCACTGTTCCTTCTTCTTTTGCTTTCTCCAACAGTGTTATGTACCAGGATCTCAACCGGTCATCTTTGGGCGTCTTCTGGTCCTCTGGATGACAGAAGAATATGTAATCATCGCCTTTGCAAGGTGGACACGCCCAGATGTGTGCTGTGTGGAAGCCTCGTTGCTTCACGTGCGCAAGATATGCAATGAGCATTTGATGATAGACCATAGTTCGATATTGGCGAGGACGAAAATAGTACACTGAGTCGAGGTAGCTTACATAAACACAACGCTGGTTTGGTTGGGGGCATTTGTGACCGTATTCGTACAGATACATTCCAAACAAGATCACATCTACGCCATCCATCTCCTGGAACAGTAAGACACACTTCGAACGTGCTGGAAATTCCCGGGGATAATGCAGCTCGGAATAGCGACGCAGCATGTGTGATTTTACTTGGTGCATTTTGTCGATATTTGAAAGCTGGCGCACATATATAGCGGCAGATCGTTCAACGACCCTAGCGCAGTCACCTTTGGCACATGTGTAAGCGTCATCGAGAGACTTAATTACGCGATCCTCTAGAAAGCGGGAGAGTTTAGTGTGGCGAATGTCTTTAGCACCCAGTGGTTGTGGTTCACGAGGGGTACGACGTGCCATGAAGCAAAAAGGACAATGATATATTGTGGTTCCCTTATTCATCCGACCATTGAAGAGGGCGCAGATTTGATGCACCCAACGATTACATTGTGAGCATTCCACCCAAGGTTCTTCGTGCATTTCATCATTCTTTTTCTTTTGCAATTCTTTTTTCCACAAGGTGCAGTCGGGAAACTCTAGAGGTTCTTTCTCCTTCAGCTCATTGAAACATTGCTGGCACCAATGATACTGATTTCGTCCACCAGTGTAGTAATATGAATTGCGCCGTATTCGTTGTCCATTACATGAGCCGTTACAGTAATAAACCGTTGGTTCAAAAAGCAACTTTTCACAGCCACAAAGTACGCAAACATCTCCGCTTGATTTGCGCTGTTCTTCCTCTGCATCAATGCTCGCAATCATTGCACTATGCAACTTCTCAAATGTTGATTTCATATCACGGGCAACTTTGCATACATCAGATCCGTTGCCATTATATGAAATAGCATTGTCAAATGTCAGACGCACATCAGCGCCAAACTCAGCAATCAATTTGTAGCCATTGTTCTCCATTCGTTTTTTAATAGAGCCGAGATCCATTGGATTCTTTATTATTTCGAAATAATCAGGCAAATTGAGCTCAACGGGATCAACAGGTTGCATGAAGATCCAAGAGCATTCGTGGTCAATGAGTTTTTTTAGTACTGGTGAGCATTTCTGTCGAATCTTCGCTGCGGTCAAGCGAAGCCCAGTCTTAAGTGACTGCAAATGGGCGTGAATT